TGCCATATTTAATGTATTTTTTTGATATTTTGGTTAGTGCTATATATAATTAAATAATGATAGATTAAATAGTGATTGTAACTATATTTAGCTTGTTGTTAAATTATGTGAAATAATTTGACATTTTGCCTGGCACATTTTGATTGGATACCGGTACTAAAAATAAAACTTTGGTGTGGGTCAAGACTTGCATCAGGCACTGTACAGTATGTAATTACAATGCATAATAATATTGCAGGTTAATTAACCCATTGAGTCACATTGCACCCTGATGCACCCTACTTTAGTATTTTACTCTGTCTAACGCCAGACAATTTTACTTGTCAAGGGGAGAGTGCTGGCGCTTAATGGGTTAATGAGCTGGATTTCTAATAGTGATGCAATATTGGTTAGAAAACATTACATTTCATTTTATATGGAAATGAGCTGGCGTGCCTCATGACAAGAGTATAATTGCTTTGCATTGCCTGAGTTATTGGGCAATTACTGTACACTGGATATTTTGCAAACAAAGATCATTACCTGGGCGTGCTCGCCTACCATAGTTTGGTACATATGCTTTGTCGGTGCAAATATAATTTGATATAAGCTGTATATGTCATTCTGTTGACAAATTTTAATCTTAGAATGATAAAATGATGGACGTTATAAATACTGCATATAACTGCATGTAACTGGTGTATATAGGTTATAATTATGAAATTTGCTCACAAAAGTGGTATAGATTTAATTAAATTATATATATTTGTAGTGCTTAATTCTCCCAATACTATGTTTTGGATAGCCAGCATGGCTCTCTGAGGATTACCATTGATAAGTGTACGGATATATTTGACGAAGATGTGCATTTATATAGTAACACAGGGAAAATATTGATCAATACTACTGCGCAGCCTTTCTACATTGACATCATCTTAAAAGAGTACTATATTAATATATTAGTTGAAAGGCAGGCAAAAGGGGACTGATAGAAGACATCTGATGATTCAATTATGTCATCATATATATTATATTGTTTATCATTGTACAGTTTGGTAGGTTCATTTGACAAACAATTTTCAACTAAGATAGTTCATTAAATCAATTTACACACAGTATCACTATATATATATCTATTGATTTAAAGTTTGGGGTCATGTGTACCTATAGTTATACTTATAGAATTTTAAAACTCAGTGCTTGTTGTGTGTTAGTTTTACTGGTTTCCTGGTGACAGGGCAATATTCTCAGTAATTTAGAGTGTGGGCTAGTCACCATGCAAATATGCAATTCACATCAAAGGCATCTATTGCTAGGGGTGAATAAAGTTGACGTACTGATGCCAACAACACTGTCCATACAGAGTAAGGTTAGCAGCATAAGACAGAGTTGTATATAAATAAGTTTACCAACTAGAGCACAAAATACCTTTATGCACCATTCTAATGCTAAAAAATTTACTCATGGAACATTGCAAATTAGTGGAAATGAATAAGCCTCAGGGAAGGTGGTTAAGAAACCTAATAACACTGTCTTTTGAGTCCAACATTGCAACTAGTGGATCACACTGTATACACCTTTGTTACACGTATGTGTGTATTTGCGTTGTCGTGATTTTTTGCCGAAATGTTTTTCAATAGAAAAGTTAAGGCTACAAGAAGCACAGTAGTAAGTACTGACTATTTTTTAATAGAGACTTATGCACCGCTGCTGCTATTACAATTGTACAAGCAAATATTTTTTCTTATATGGAAAAATTATGTTGTTTTTGCGATATATAGGTTCAAGTTTTTTACGTGCTTTCCAAAAATGCAGCAAATAAATTTGTGACTCTGATGTATGAATTGGAACAAAAGAGTTTGCTCAGAACGCAGGAAATCGCATTTCCGAGGTTCTAGATTTCAAAATGTCCCGGGGGAGGATACCCCCGGACCCCCCGACAAATGCGAGTTCTTATGTATGCATCAGTCAGTTCAGGAGCTGGATCCGCCTGCTTCTTAAAATTAATTGGTTACAAAGGGGAACCTGTTCCCTGGTGTAACCTAAAATAGTCCCCATTGTAACCTCCAAATTTTTTTCCTTAATTTTGAGCAAAATGACAAAGTTGTCCCTGAAGTAGAAAAGACCGACTTTGTTATTGTATAAAAATTCCCGACAACAATCGCCAAAAATAGCGTATTTCAAGAGTACCTAAATCCCGCCATTATTTCAAACAATATTAGTTCAATAGTATAGCTTTCATGACAACTTTTACTGAGGGCAAAAACATTAAATAAAAGAAGTAAATATTTTTTATAGATTTTTAGAATGCACCCCTCCTTACCCTGGCCAAAAATTACCTAAAAAATTACAAAAAATGATCATTCTGAAAAATTAAGGCATAGGCTGTACCCCCCATGACAGGCTGTACCCCCCATTACACTCATGTTTTCTTGCAATTGTGAAGATTTTTTTATTTATTCCGGTTATATATGTATATTTACATTTATACATAAAGGTAGGTTTAGTATTTGTTTGAATTATTTAAATATTTATAACTTTAGCTTTAATTTTACAGGGAAGTTTGTATGGTATTTACATAACCTGCGAAGGTAGACCACTTTAATAAACACACATTTACATATTCTATAGCATTATGTGGATATTAATAAGCCTCCTTGTATTCTGTGACTAAAACTAAGATTTAAAACAATGACATGGCCAAGAAGGTTTATTGAAATGCACATATAAGAATATTTAAACCTATCATTGTTAATATGAAAGTCTAATATTTATGGCTGATTAATTTACATACACTGTGCTACAAGGTAGTTGCATTATTCACAGCCCACCTGTTGAAATATGGCAACTCATTTAGATTAAAATATACTAATTAAATAAGCATAGAAGGTACCGGTGTGAAAGTGATTTCCAACATGAGAGTGTAATTGATGGTTTAACTATACATGTTCATTGTTGAGTATATCACATACTAATGGTTTCTCTATAGTATAGTATAGTATAGTATACAAATAATGAATGTTTATGAGTGCAATGGTAAGAATATTTTCATGAGGTGAAAGATGGAATGTTCCATTCAACGAGGCGACAGCCGAGTTGAATGGAACATTCCATCTTTCACCGAATGAAAATATTCTTATCATTGCACAAAGAAACATTCATTATTTGTTTTATATAATACCAAAATAGACTAATAGATTCGTATTAGAAGCATTTTGAGGGATGCGATTTATCGAAAACACAACGAGTGCAATTGTACTATACGTTTTATTGCAATAGAACGTGTTCCATTGCACTCTTGGGAAATGGAATTTTCTATTCAATATCACGTGACCATAAACAGCCAATTAAACGATTAGAATTTAATAAGGTATAATATAGTATAGTATAGTATAGTATAGTATAGTATTAAGCAATCTGGGGCTGCATGTTCAAAGTTTGGTTTGTACCTGCATTTAAACTGATTTAACCTGTTGTTTAATTTTGTGTATTCTTTCATGCTCATTAACTCATTCTCATCCGGTCGAAATGTAGCAATTTTGAGTGGTGTTGTTTTAAACACAAATATCTTTCAAACTATACATCGTATGGAAACAGAAATCGCATCGTTCGAAAGAGGAGAACTTCCACTTTCCAACGATACCAATTTCAATTTCATCACAAGTTTGGTTGACATAACTTGCATAAATTTGCATAAATTATGATATAAAAAAATGTTGCAATTATGCATAAACGTATTTACCGGTTGAAATTTCAAATATGTCAACAATTTTATGAATGTAACAGAGACAGTTTTGACCTACAAGTTTCATGCATGTAGCATAAATGGAAGTATTTTTGCTGAATTTTTTAATGAACTATGCAGTAGACAAATTTACATTTTGTGCTCACATGAAACAAATACCCTTTTTCAAAGGTTCTTTTTCATTGCTACAGCATATTATCAATACTTATCACCACATTTCCAATATTTCTTACTCTCCAAGGATAGTATGGCACCAAAATAAGTCTGTGATACCCACAAAAGAACACTCAAATCACTATTTGCAAAATGTCTTTATTTCTACGGTTACCATATACATGCTTAGTTTTAAATAATAATTACTCATTTTGATGATGATGATGATGAATATTTAATCAGGTAACCTACTTCGCCAAGGCGATTTTCAGTAGGGACCTGGTACAATATCGTAAAAGTGATACAATAAAAATTATGAAGATTAAATAAAAATATGTTCATAGTCAATTCTAAAAATATGTAAATCACTAAAAATGTGTTTTAAATATAGCTAAAGAGTTACTATTTCGAACATCATTGTTTAAGGAGTTCCAATCCTCAGCAACCTGATAAACAAGCCTCTGTTTTCCCCAATTAGTCCTAACACGGGGAAGATGGAGGTTGTTTTTTGTCCGAGTGTCGTAGACATGAAGCATAGCATCAGATATAAAATTAAAATCATAATCAATCAGTTTGTTAATTCCTTTATACGCTATGCTACAGCGGTGAAAAAACTGTCTTTCAAATAAACGTTTCATATTAAGACAATGAAGTGCTTCGGTGGCTGAGTTTCTTGGAGGCAGATCCAGCATAATTTTGGCTGACTTGTTTTGTAAAATTTGCAAATGTTCCATCAAAGTAGAGTTGTTTTTATCACCCCAGATTATGTCCCCATAATCAAATAGAGGTAAAACCAAAGAGTGATATAGGATAAGTCTGTACTAAGAGGTATAAGAGGTTTAACCCTACAGATAACACCAAGCCTTTGATTTACTTTCTTAATAACACTGTCCACGTGCTCGTCCCAAGTCATGTGTTGATGAAAGGTTACGCCAAGGTATTTGAAAGATTCCACTTTCTCAAAAACATCATTTATGCCAATTTTGAAAGAGACATGGACTTTGCTCAATTTTTGAGGACTCCAAAAAGGAAGTATTTAATGCTAATAAGTTTTGATTAAACCAATTTGAAACAATAGCCAGGTCTGAATTTAGAGTATCATTGATATCGTCTGGTTTTCTAGACGAGTAATATATAACTGTGTCGTCTGCGTAAAAGACAATCTTGCATGATGTAAGATCATTCACGTATATGAGAAAAAGCAGGGGCCCCAAGATGCTTCCTTGAGGCACACCAACTCCAATAGGTCCAACTTCAGACATTTCCGAATTAATATTTGTAACTTGTGTTCTACATTCCAAGTACGATCGGAACCAATCAGTAGTATTCCTCTTCAAGCTAATAGCGTTCAATTTGTTTAACAAGACTGTGTGGTTGATGGTGTCAAAGGCCTTTGATAGGTCTAAAAACAGAGCACCAGTGAGATAGCCATTGTCCATTTTCTCAAGAATGTTATCAGTAAAGTGGGCCAATGCTATAGATGTTGACAGCTTTGGTCTAAAACCGAACTGCTTCGATGTCAAGATCTTGTTAACAGTTAAGTAATTATATAGTTGACAATGAACTGCCCTTTCAAGGATCTTGGATACAGTAGGTAAAACAGTTATCAGTCTATAGTTGTTAGGATCAGAACGGTTCCCTGATTTAAATAGTGCCGTTATTTTACCGAATTTCCCAATACTCAATAGACCGATTAAACAAGTTCGTCAAGCCTTTGGCAATAACATAAGCACCGTCCTTCAGAAATCGGGCATTGATCTTATCCATACCCACTGCCTTATTAGGCTTCAGTTTTAATAATTCATTCAAGACGAACTGTTTAGTAATCGGCTGAATTTCAAATGCGCAGGGTAAACTTGGTATATTATTGTGAGATATAATAGATGCAAAAGACTTCAAACTATTAGCAATTTTAGATCCAATAGTTGAAAAATGCTGATTTAAAATGTCAGCAATGGTTGTAGATTCACTATATATAACACCATCAGCTTCAATGCAAGAGACTGGATTTGTTTCTTTATGCGAAAGAATTTTGTTCAGAGTGTTCCAAAGTGTACTTGAATTGTTTTTATTATCCTCAATTAACCTTGAATAATATTCGGCTTTACATTTTCTTACTTCCTTATTAACTTTATTCCGGAGATCTTTGTACTGGGACCACTGATTTGGTAATTTAGATTTAATAGCTTTCCTATGAAGAAAGTCACGTTTTTGCATTAATGACGATAGTTCAGCCGTCATCCATGGTGTATGTTGGAAACCGACTATAAATAGGTTATGAACAAACACTAGATATGAACACCATATAAGGACATAATTAGTGTATGATTGACATTTAGTAAAAACAACATAGTGATACATTGCGAGAGAGAGAAATAGGCGTGTAAACATAGTACAACATACGAAATAAAATCGAATAATTTGGCGATTAAAAACACAGTGAATTGTCGTGAAGGACGGCCCTTTTAGTAGAGCATTCCGACACTACCTTTCCAATACTAGCCTCTTCACACAAAAAAAAAAAAAAGAAAAAGTGGCACCTGCGACGAGATCGAAATATGGATAAACTAGAGAAAGATTTAACCGGGAAATTAAAGCTATTAAAATTTACGCTCGAGAAAACATCAGAAATTGTGAGTAAAGCAAATATTGTCGCCATCAAAAGACAACGCTAAGCATTGATAAAGATTACTGCGAATATCGAGGAATTAAAATTACATATTTTGGAAGGAAAGTTTGAACGGGGAGACAACGATGAAACAATTACAAATTGGAGCAAAAATGTCGAAGAACAAGTCGAAAACGTCGATGCGGAAGTAAAAAAGCTACAAAAATATTTGGATGAAATGAAAGCCAACGAAGCGAGCAAAGCGAAGGAAGCTGAATGGGCACAACAACTACAGTTTGAGAAAGAACAATACGAACAAAAACTGCATTTTGAGCACAAAGTTGATGAAATCAAGAAAGATAAAACTACAAAAAAGCCGGATCAAATTCAAACGAAGCTTCCCAAGTTAATTATTACCCCATTTAATGGCGCACCAACCGATTGGCTTCGTTTTTGGAACATATTTGAAACCGAAATAGACAACAACAGTGATGTAGCACCCGTAACCAAATTCGCCTATCTAAAAGAACTTTTGAAACCAAATGTTAGATCAACTATAGATGGACTACCATTTTCAACTGAAGGATATACCAGAGCGAAAAATATTTAAAAAACAAGTATGGCAACACCACAGAGATTGTCAACGCCTATGTGCAAAACATTATGGCTTTACCAGTTATCAATGGTACACAACCCTGGAAAATACACGATTTTTATGAGAAATTATTATTCAACGTTCAAGCACTCGAAACTTTAGGGAAATTAACTGAGATAAATGGTTATGTGCGAATGTCGATAGACAAACTCGAAGGGAGACGGGGAGATTTACTTCGAACGGATGACAAATGGCGCGAATGGGACTTTCCGAAATTTGTCGAGGCACTGCGAATGTGGACCGAAAGAAACCCCTGCCTACCACGAAAGAAGCGGAGCGAGTTCCCAAGTGGGTCTTCCTATAATACCCAACAACGTACCTGTGTTTATTGCGATAAGCCAGACCACAAGTCAATCGATTGTGGCAGTGTGACTAAACCCGGTGAGCGAAGGCAGATTTTACAGCGCAAACGACTCTGTTTTAACTGTACCGGTTCAGGGCACAGAGCTTCGGAGTGTAAAAGTCGATCGAAATGTCGAATCTGCGATGGGAAGCACCATTCCTCAATTTGTGAAAAACCGCTGAAAGAGAACCTGATGACAACCAATCAAGGAAACGAACAGCATGTTGTATATCCAGTTGTGGTTGTAGATGTGCATGGAGTCAAATGTCGTGCGTTGCTGGATTCGGGATCAGGTAGCTCCTACGCATCAGCCGTCTTGCTCAAAACGATTGGAGTCAAACCCATCAGCTCGGAAATGCGACAAATCGAAATGATGTTGAGCACCACAACACGAAGGATGGACGTTTACACTGTCAATGTAAGCTCGTTGAATAAGTCTTTTGAAATGGACATCAATGTCAGCAAAGTGGAGAAGCCTCAACTCATGACTTTAAAGAATCCTGGTTATAAGAGCCTCCTGGGAAGACACCCACATCTCGAAGGCGTAGTCATGGATGACAACGACACCAAGACCAACTTACCTGTTCACTTAATCCTGGGAATCAGTGAATGCACCAGAATAAGTACAGCAGAACCGCAGCGCATCGGTGGAGAATGGGATCCAGTGGCTACATTCACCAAGCTGGGATGGACTATTACTTCACCTGGGCAGGAGTTTGACGTCTCAGCAATGTTACTTACCCAAACAGCGCAAGTTGACTACGACGAACTGTGCAAACTCGATGTTCTTGGTCTCGCAGACCACCCTGGTGGTGATCAAAATGAAGTGTTCGAAGGAGGGAGGGAGATCACCCGGCGCTGCCAACTGGGAAAGATGTCAGTTTACATAGATTAAACACTCTAGTTTGCAAGCTAGAGAAATCAGGAACGATCAATGATTATGATGCAATCATCAGAGAGCAGCTGGACCAAGGCGTAATAGAGCGTGCCCCAGACACAGTGGTCGGCGAAGAATGCTACATTCCACACAAGCCAGTGATACGAGAGAAAGCAGAGAGTGCAAAACTTCGAATTGTGTACGATGCTTCGGCGCGGGTAGAATATAATGCCCCATCTCTCAATCCTGGTCCGCCACTCCAAAACCAACTCTGGAGTGTGCTCGTAAGAGGACGATTTAATCCTGTAGCCCTCACGGCAGATATCAAGCAAGCTTTCTTACAAGTCCGAATTTGTGAAGAGGACAGAGATGCTTTAAGATTCCACTGGTTAAAAGATGTGAATTCAAAGGAAGTGGAGACTTACAGGTTTACTAGGGCATTATTCGGACTCGCCCCATCTCCATTTCTTTTGGGCGGAGTGATCAAACAACATCTTGAAGTGTGGCGCAGTAAAAGTCCAGAAACTGTACGTGAAATCGAAAAGAGCCTCTACGTGGATGATTTGATATGAGGTGCGACAACCACCAATGACGCCAAGCTACTCAAAGTTGAAGCTACAGAAATATTCGAGGACGCTGCCTTCCAACTACACAAGTGGCATTCGAACGAAGCTACACTGGAATCCAACCAACATGAAGGAGAACTCACAGATCAGACCTTTGCTAAACAGCAACTGAGACAGCCAGATAACAGGAACTGCAGCCTCCTTGGGCTTGCATGGAATAAGAACAAAGACACAATTAGCATTCCTATTTCGAATGAGGAAGTACCAACAACCAAACGAGGAGTTCTAACGAAAGTAGCAAAGATCTATGACCCACTGGGGTTGGCGTCACCATTGTCACTAACTGGGAAAATGCTGTATCGAGAAACGTGCAACCTTAAATGTACATGGGATCAAGCACTACCAATTGACCTCGGTAAGAGATGGAAACGATGGGAAAGAGAGTTACCAGAACGTATAACAACAGTGAGGTCTTTGGCAAAGTACCAAGAACCAGTCACCAGCATCACTCTTCATGCGTTCGGCGATGCGAGTGGAAACGGGGTAGCTGCAGCCACCTATGCTGTAGTGTCTCAACCATCAGGGCAAACACAAGGGCTCGTGACAGCCAAGGCACGACTCGCCAAACAAGGACTAACTATACCTCGACAAGAATTAGTTGCTGGCCACATGGCTGCTAATCTTGTCACTAATGTCAAGGAAGCACTCGAAGGATTCCCTGTAGCAAACTCATACTGTTGGTTAGATAGTACGGTGGCCCTTCATTGGATTCGAGGCGAAGGAAACTACAAGCAATTCGTGCAAAACCGAGTCAACAAAATTCAGCAGAAAAACCTCGAGTGGAGATACGTCCCAACGCACGAAAATCCAGCGGATTTGGGCAGCCGTGGCGATGCTGTAACGCAGACCAACGAGCTATGGTGGAATGGACCAAAGTGGCTTTCCAAACCCGAGGAATGCCCTGAAAACGTCAGTACGAAAGCTACCAAAGAATCACTTGGAGAGGCTAAGAAAGTTCGTGAATTGTTCAAATTGGCGACCGATCATGAACCAGATGAGTTCAGTCAACTTATTGTGATTAGAACGTGTGCATGGATCGCGAGGTTTGTGCACAACGCGAGAAACAAAATTAAAAAGGTCGGTCCACTAACTACAGAAGAGATTGAAGCACAAAAGAAATTTTGGGAAGAAAGGGCTCAACGACAAGGCAAAGTGAGTGAGAAGTACGATGCTGACCGAATGCAACCCAACCTACAGCGTAACCAATCGGGATTGTTAGAATGTCAAGGTAGAGTTCAAGGACTTTATCCCATTTACCTTCCAGATACTGAGATCTACACAGAGAAATTCGTACAGCAAGCTCATGAAGATACACTCCACGGTGGAGTGGGATGCACGATGGCAAAAGTTCGCGAAAACCATTGGGTACCTCGCCTGCGACAGCTAGCGAAACGGCTTATCAAGAAATGCCCCAGTTGCAAGAGGTTCCAGATCACAGCTCTGGCCAGTCCACCACCTGGTTTTCTCCCAAAGGATCGAACAGAAGGAAACACTGCTTTTCAAGTAGTTGGAGTCGATTACGCAGGGCCCCTTAAGAGGCTGTCTCCGTAAAAACCTCCAGGTCAGTATGGGGCTCAAAAATAGATTTCTCTCATACTCTAGTATTTTGAAGATCTATCCTTGGGAACAACTAAAATCGATGTCATTTTACTCAAATTTCCTTTAAATTATTTTTGGGGGCGATTGATGTTCGATCGACTGGTAACCAACTTGATACTCCGAATGAAGGCCAAATATCGACATATTTTCAGCGCTATTTTTTAAATCAAATTCATACCTAAATTTCAAAATTTTTGCTCAGAAATATAGACTTATCCTTCTATTTTCGCGGGTGATATGACTTAGATCATTATTCTTTGGTATAAAATAGAAAACAGCGCAGTTATTGACCCTCCTGAACGGATAAAGGATATCGTCTCAAAATATGTCAACTTCGAAAGCTTATTTCAAAATCGTGGCACTTGATTGGCACATGACTTTAACTTTTCTATAAACTACTAACATTAGTCAACACAAATCGCCAATAATATCTTTCTGTTCTACCATTTGACAAAAATGACAAGCGCGCAAACTTTGTAAAATTTGAAAATGTGTCGAAATCGAGCATACTTTATCGGTAAACATAATTCTTGATATTAACAAATAAAACCACCTTACACTACACTGAATGAAGCTTGATTATGTAAATATATGTCTTTCATCATTATTCTTTGGTTTTGCACTCGAATGAGATTGTTTGACTGTACAGTTTGGCTTCAAGGATAGTCATTCAATGCCAGTGTGTCCTGTGTGTTCGAATTCTGCGCGCCTCAATGCCATGACGGCATCAGTCCTGATTGTGACATACGAACTTCGCTCTGTTCGCTTTGTTTACCTCCTGTAAATAAAATGTCTCAAAGAAATTAGAAAATTCAGAATTAGTCATACTACAGACATAACTTTCATTGGTTTGTTTACCTTAAACTGTTATATAAAGTTTCGTTTTATAGAATGTACGAATTAATCTCGGGGAAAACTCCTAACCGAAAGAAATGTACTCGCTGAGCGTAAACATGTCAATCAAATGACGATGAAATGTTTCGTTGCTCTCTGATTTCCCTTTCTTTGTATTGAATTAAATAGTAGTCTTAGACAGTATTGCACGAGGTTTTTGTGTTTACAATAATGGTGTTCTACTTCTACTACAGCCGCAATTTGTGATCATGCAACGTTAAGGCCCTGTCACACTATTGCGTATGAGAGAACGTATGAGAACCGTATGAAAATTAATGAAATCATTTTCATACGCACAAAAATCCTTTGAAATGCCAGCGTATGAGTACCGTACATCTGGCGTACCTCTAGCGTATTCAGCGTGTGCCTAAAGTATGCTTATCTTATAAAGCATACGTCCCGAATACGCACAAAATTTTTGAACATGCTGAAAAAAAAATTTCTGCCTCGGCGTATGCCAGCGTATGCAACCGTATGCGACCGTGCTTGAAACGTATATAACCTATGCCTAGCGTACCCCTAGCGTATGTCAGCGTATACGGCGAATGAGTGATATTTTTCATACGCTGGCATACGCTAGTACGATACGCAATAGTGTGACAGGGCCTTCAGGTAAGCCTAAAGGCTCTGTCACACTAATGCGTATGAGAGAAACGTATGAGAAGCGTATGAAAATCAATGAAATAATTTTCATACGCAGAAAAATCCTTTGCAATGCCAGCGTATGAGTACCGTACATCTGGCGTACCTATAGCGTATTGAGCGTGTGCCTAGAGCATGCTTATCGTATAAAGCATACGTCCGATACGCACAAAATTTTTGAACATGCTTAAAAAAATTTTCTGCCTCGCCGTATGCCACCGTATGCGACCGTGCTTGAAACGCATACAACCTATGCCTAGCGTACCCCTAGCGTATGTCAGCGTATACCGGCGTATGAGTGATATTTTTCATACGCTGGCATACGCTAGTACGATACGCAATAGTGTGACAGGACCTTAAACGATTTCGACAGACAGTAGATTTTATGTTGACAGATGAGAATGGCGGTAAACAATAATGTAGATATGTTCCTTTTCTACTTCTGAGTGTGGAAAATTCCGAGACACAGTAGACTGTTCTTCGAAGTTGCTGGCGTGTAAGAATGACATTAGTTATCACTTGCAAATTTGTCACCCTTTAAAGCTTGTCGGAAAGAAGAATATAAATTAATTCTAATTTTCAGAACCTTTCTAATTGTTACTGAAAAAAGTAATAACATTGATTAAATAACTGAGACGTTCAAATGGGTTACAGCTGTTTGCGCTGAATTGTTTTGTATTATATCAAAATATTCGCATATTTTTATACAATAAGAAATAATGTAAATTCTTGAAGCATAGCCTTGAGCAAAGTCACCCAGGGTCGGCCTGAAAAAGTTGATTTTTTTATACAGAACCGTGACTTACTTGAATTCTAGTTTCATTGATAATTGTTTCTAAACCTAGAGACAATTCAGTTGCTAGAAAATCTAATGAAACTTTTATAAAACAGTTTAAAAACGATGAAAATTCTGTCTGTAGTATGACTAATTCTGAGTTTTCCAATTTCATTGAATATTGTTATTTGTTAAACATGTATTTGTTAAAGAGGTAAACAAAGCGAACAGGGCGAAGATTGTATAGTATGTCTGTATGTCACAATCAGGACTCGTGGCATTGAGGCGCGCAGAAGACACTGGACACACTGGCATATTGAATCACTCTATCCGTGAAGCCAAACTGTACTCAAACAATTTGATTCAAGCGCCATACCAAAGAATAATGATGAAGGACATGTATTTACATAATGAAGCTTCATTCAGTGTAGTGTAAGGTGATTTTATCTGTTAATATCAATAATTATGTTTACCAATAAAGTATGCTCGATTTCGACACATTTTCAAATTTTACAAAGTTTGCGCGCTTGTCATTTTTGTCAAATGGTAGAGCAGAAAGATATTATCGGCGATTTGTGTTGACTAATGTTAGTAGTTTATAGAAAAGTTAAAGTCATGTGCCAATCAAGTGCCACGATTTTGAAATAAGCTTTCGAAGTTGACATATTTTGAGACGATATCCTTTATCTGTTCGGGAGGGTCAATAACTGCGCTGTTTTCTATTTTATACCAAAGAATAATGATCTAAGTTGTATCACCGACGAAAATAGAAGGATAAGTCTATATTTCTGAGCAAAAATTTTGAAATTTAGGTATGAATTTGATTTGAAAAATAGCGCTGAAAATATGTCGATATTTGGCCTTCATTAGGAGTATCAAGTTGGTTACCAGTCGATCGAACATCAATCGCCTCCAAAAATAATTTAAAGGAAATTTGAGTAAAATGACATCGATTTTAGTTGTTCCCAAGGATAGATCTTCAAAATACTAGAGTATGAGAGAAATCTATTTTTGAGCCCCATATTGACCTGGAGGTTTTTACGGAGACAGCCTCTTAAGATCTGCGTTAAGCAGACGCGAGAAGGAAAAGCATATATCATCTTATTCGCCTGTAGTCTGACGAGAGCTTTACACCTAGATTTGGCTAAATCTATGGAAATGGAAGAGTTTCTGTTGAGTTTTAAGAGTTTCGTAGCCAGACGTGGAAGACCTGAAAAGGTGTACTCGGACAATGGTCGAACTTTTGTCGGAGCTGCATCGTGGATAAAGAAAGTAAGATCAAGTGAAAAGTTCAACGACTTCCTCGCTCACCAGGGAATAACTTGGCAATTCAATCTCAGCAAAGCGCCCTGGTGGGGAGGGCAATTTGAGCGTATGGTTGGGCTAGTAAAGGGAGCTCTAAGAAAGTCCATCGGGAAAAGTCTTCTGACGTTCACCGAACTTAAAGAAGTCCTGTTAGATGTTGAGGTCGCTTTAAATAACCGCCCCTTGTCGTATGTAGAAGATGATATCCAAATGCCGTTGATAACACCCGAAAGTATGATGCGTCCTCAGTCTAACTTGCTGCCAGAATTGGAACCACACCTCGAAGAAACCGTACCATTAAGGAAAAGAGCGAAGTACATTAAAAAATGTAAAGATACAATGTGGAAACGCTGGACGAATGAGTATTTATGGGGTCTTCGCGAACGGTACAATCTCAAACACAGCAGATCATCCGGAACAGTGGAAAAAGGTGAAGTTGTGATCATAAAGGGTGACGAGAAAGACAGAAATCAATGGAAATTAGGGATTGTGGAGAAAGTGTTGCCTGGTAAAGATGGTATTGTACGAGCGGTGAGACTTCGAGCGGGAAGAAACCAACTTGAAAGGCCAATACTTTATCCGTTGGAGCTGAGCTGCGACATAGAAAGAAATACGAAGACGAATTTAAATCCGGAGATACCAGCCTTTCGACCGAGACGTAACGCAGCGGAGGTAGCGAAAGTTCGTATAAGTGACATTGCAGAATATGAAAACAGTAACTGAACTGACGTTCAAAACTTGAACTTATAGATTGATATTGATAATATTATTATAGGGTAATGCATGCAACAAGTGTATTGTTAGGGGAGTGTGTTGGAAACCGACTATAAATAGGTTATGAACAAACACTAGATATGAACACCATATAAGGACATAATTAGTGTATGATTGACATTTAGTAAAAACAACATAGTGATACATTGCGAGAGAGAGAGAAATAGGCGTGTAAACATAGTACAACATACGAAATAAAATCGAATAATTTGGTGATTAAAAACACAGTGAATTGTCGTGAAGGACGGCCCTTTTAGTAGAGCATTCCAACAGTGTAGACATATCTCGTATTTGTGACTTTTTAATCGGAGCATGATTGTCTATAACCGTGGTGAAACATGCATTCCACTTAAAAACTGCTTGATCTAGATCTTCGTAGGCGGTTATCGAAGACCATCGTAGGCGGTTATCGAAGACCATTTTGCCCACGATGCTTCAGATATTAAGATGAGTGATTTTGAGCCCTCTAGATTTAGTAAGGTTCTTTAGGGATAGACCAGGCCCAGGATTAGAAGCAACATCATTTGATAAGTATACCAGAAGCAACGCAAGTGCAGTCCTTTGACCAAGAACACAACCAGCTTTAAACGAGTAGAATACACCTAATTTATAGCAAGCTTGACTATGGCGCTTCAGGGTTGAAGCCTTCAATGAAACTCCATCAACCAATGTCGGTTCCGCGAGATATCTTGACGCATACAATGTATCTCCATCGGTGAGACTTACTGTTGTTTCAGGAAGATTGATAAAATGATGTATAAAACACACATGTAAAATAAGGCATAAACCTCGACTGCCATTAACAGCTGATATACAAGCGGCCATATTTGATGCGAAATCGATTGAAAATATTTGCACATAGCATGACCAAGTGTTGTTGGCCTCCGAAAATAAAACATCGTATTCACAAAGGTATGTGTCAAGTTTTTAATTCTCAACTTGGAGGCTTTTAATTTTCAGTATTAGTCCAGGACCTGTATACGAGTTTGTATGCGTTTCATTTAGGACAGATAATCTCAACTGTTTTAGGGCAAGTTGACCATGATAGTCAACATGGTAACGCTGCCCGAACCCCAATCCGGGACAAAACGTCCAAAACTGACCACACCCAAAAACGACGCTTTTGCCATAGTGCTATCTACCAAACCATAAAAGCTTTGGCTGTTCTGAGGTGCTTATATGGTTCAGAGATGGTGGTTTTAGGTGTGGTCCGTGGTAAGTGTGAAATGCCTAGCACTGATATTTCACAAGAAAATGACCATGCAATACTCATAGTCAAACGTCAATTTGTGGCTTACAACTTCAAATATACAGCAGTGGATCTACATTACCTTTTTTCCTAAATCTTTTTGATAGAAACATAATTGGCACTTATTTAATTATATTATCACTGTTTTGGTGTAAAATAGTTAATATTTTGTGACCGAAATAATAATTTGAAATGTACATACCTCCTACAAATGGACGTATTTGGCCAAATTCTCCACTTTACTCCACTGTTTATGGCCAATCTTGTTGAACTCCTTCCAAGTATGCAACTCAGCTCAACCATAATCACATTTTAAACACGTTTCAATTGGGTTTCAAGTAGATCCTAGCTGTTTAACCATTGACAAGGTAAAACCTCAACTTTGTCCAAATTCGGCACCATTTTGTCATCCCGTATCGGTTGTAAACAATTCGGCCTTGTTCTTCTTCCATCCAAGCCATTTCCATCAACTAATGACAAATTTAACCCTTTAATACAAATGAAATATATGAAATGCATTTTATCACCCTGTAAGGTGTTGCTTATGAGTCTTTCAAAACATTCCGTACAAATCTCACGTGACAAAGTGACAGGGCCACATTCAGGGTTGAATATTAGCCCTACTTATTCTTTTTACTTGGCTAATGCCAGAATATTTACTCGTCAATGGGGAAGCTCTGCAGCTTAATGGGCAACCAAAAAATCTGACAATGTTTCTAGTTAACCCATTGAGCCGCAATGCGGCCCAATGCGCCCTACTTATTTTTTTACTTGTCTAACGTCAGATGATTTTACTCGTCAATGGGGATCAGCTCTGCAGCTTAATGGGTTAACCAAATCACATGAAACTTTGCAAGCATATATAAAATGCACACAGAATACTGTTTTAAGTGAATCTAACAATATACTGGCATTATTTCAACCTGGGGTTGGTTGTTCAAAGGTGGGTTAATGCTAACCCTGGGTTAAAATTTAACCTGCTGTTTTAGTTTGTGTACTTCTACACATCAGTTTTCAAAACTTCAGAGAAGTAAATTCCTATTGATCCAGACAAGATCTCAGAAGAAATATTTCCAAATAACAGAATTTGCAGCACTGTATTTATCGGATAGTATCAGACGTAACACAGATAAAGGTTGTGTTACTGGTGCGCTGTTTATAGATCTGGGAAAAGCATAAATAACAACCTAGCAAAAAAGTAGATAACCTCCTGCTTGCTAAATTGTATGCTTATAATGTTACTGGTTCCAAATGGGAATCCTTGATTTATTGAAACAGTCGCTGAAGTTGAGGATATTCGCTCAGCCAAAATGAATAAGTTGACACTTCATATGGGTAAGACAGAGTTGGTTATATTTGGAACAGCCAAGAGACTGTCGAATAACACGAATATTGATATTAACAAAAGGATTAATGGTCAGCTTATTTCAAGTAAGAAGGTTGTGAAATATTTGGGCATATTTTTCGATTGTACACTATCATGGAAAGATCATGTATCTTTTGTTTTGAAAAACGCGGGGAAAAGAATTAGTATGCTGAATAGAATTAGTAAAAATTTAACATTTCACACTGCTGACATGCTGTATAACAGCTACACTCTACCCATATTTGACTTCTGTGATACAGTATGGACAAAATGTGGGCAAAGGATGCTTTGGAGGGACTTCAGAAATTTGTGGGTAAAATAATTTATCAGTTGAAAATGAGGGAAGTTCACCAACATGGTGATGAAGTTCTTCAGTATCTAAACTGGATGAAATTAGAAGATTGGAGACACATACATGTATTCAAGGCAGTTAACAAATGTTTAAGAGGGCGTCTCTGTAAGAGCGGACCACTGGATCTAGGCTTCAAAAATAGATTTCTCTTATATTTCTACCGTCGATACTCTCATCTATCCTAACTACGAAACAGGAGTTAAGATCGTTCTAACGTGGTTTTTATAACCGCTATGCGAGTTTTTGTCCCAGGACCCAAGTTAATTAAAATATGCCAGTTTCTGAAATCGCCGAAGCCTACAATCATAGTCCGCTTTCTCTATTTTCTCTGCTAATCAGAGCTTCGTTTTCAGGTCTGAGCTGCACTGGAGTGCTCTTTCTACTAAGAAACAGTAATATATAGCTGTTTAGTTGCACCTGGCAAATAAAAAAAATTTACTAATCGAGACCCTTCAACGCATCATATCAAATTCGAGAATTATAGGTCCTAAAACATTGCAGAATTCTCATTTGTGGCACCTGCCCAGGTTCTAAATCGCTTTTTAACTTTGAGATAGGATGCTATTCCATACATCTACACAATAAAATTTGCGGCACATTGCATTTCTAAGAAATCAGGGAGTTGACAATTTTTGCATTTTTTAGCTATTTCTCCGTGTGACACAAGAACCTAATTAACGATGAATATATGTCCCTGTGCTGTTATTAGCCTCACTGTTACTATCCAAAAATCAAGAATACATCAAAAACTTGTTCCTAAATATCCTTTTCCTGATTCTTAAAGATTTATTCAAGTAATTTCAACCTTCTTTTAAGCGATTTTGGAATTTGCTAACACAACATGGACATAACATTTAATATAGCTCGCATATTTAATAATATGCATTCGTCCCAAATTTTGTATGAAATTATATTCAAAAATCATTTTATAATATAATATAATATAATATAATATAATATAATAGCAATTGCAATGAATCAGAATAGGCACAAATACTAGCGTAGAATATCAGAAATAAAATGACTCATATGATTTTAGAAATTAATTAATAACAAGACGCTCAAAAGAGCGTTAACTCGCTGGGGCTATACAGGGTGTATAAAAAACTAAACCGATTTGAAAGTGCTCTCAATTTTGCAAAACAGCTATTAGTATCCAGTTTGTTATGTATATAGCTTCCTTGGGTACGTATAATGTAGAATAATGAAAAAAAATTCTCGAACTCAAATTTTGTGAACAATGGGGGGGGGGGTGTCATTTCCAACAAAATAAAAATGGCTTGCACACGAAATTTAAAAGCTTTAATCATATTTTGAGTTGATAGATGGAAAACTTTTTTATTAATGTGCAAAATGTCAGACAATTTGCTTTAGGTTTGCTTTAGGTTAAGCCTTTAACTATTAATTTTCCCTAAAAAATCAGCCTTTCGCATTCTTAATGCCTTTACCTAATTTGCATATTGCTGACATATGCAAATTAGGCAAAGACATGTAAGTTTGCATAATAGACTAATGCAAATTGTCTGCGAATAGACTAATGCAAATTGTCTGCAATTTTGTACAGTAATTAAAAACCCAACCAATGTTCCATCGTAGATTGCTACTGCAGAAATTAGAACAATATGGCATTACGCCAATAGCTTTAAAATGGTTTAAATCGTATCTAAATGATCGTTACCAAGTAGTACAAATTGCATCATCTCTATCCAACCCAGCTCTGATAAAGTCTGGTGTGCCTCAAGGATCTATACTAGGACCAATTCTCTTTCTTATCTTTATTAACGATTTAC